ACTCAAACTCTTGGCAACTGGAGGAGTTTTCAGGGCCCTGAGAGCCTTATCTGTGCTCACTGGGCCACCAGAGGGCAGCACTGGCTCACACCACATGCTGGCCTCTGGCCTTCACTGTGAAGGAGAGCAGGGATTTTCAACCCCACCTGACTCAATCTCTCCCTTTTTTAAACAACTATTTTCCAGTGTCCCCTTTATCATTTTGAAATAAAATGAATTTTGAGTAAAAGTTACCTAAGCAAGTAATTAAATATGATGCCTTAACTCTAAAGGAGAGAAAAGGAAAGTAACTTAATAAACCTGTGTGTTTCAGTATGCAATGCTTGGGCACAACGACACTAGAAGAGCACAGTTTATAGGTAGTGCCTAAGACATTTGACTGCTAACTAGAAGGCTCATGGTTCAAACCCACCAGCCACTCCTCAGAAGGAAGGTTGGGCAATCTACTTCTATAGTGATACCACCTTGGAAACCCAAAGAATGGTCACTATGAGTTGGATCCAACTTGATGGCAGTGCATTGTGTTGCGTTGCGTTTGTGTCCATAGGTGGATTTTTGCGAATGAAGATTCATAAATGCATATGGAAGCAGATGGAAGATGTATAAATACAGGTGTGTGGGTGGCAAAATGCACTGTTGTTGTTATGTGCCGTCGAGTCGGACCTGACTCATAGTGACCCCTCCTTTGGTTTCTGAGGCGGTATCACTACAGAAGTAGATTATCCAACCTTCCTTCCGAGGAGTGGCTGGTGGGTTTGAACCATCAGCCTTTTGGTTAGCAGTCAAGTACCTTAGGCACTATGCTACCAGAGCTCCTAGAAATACACTAGTTGTCTGAAATGGTAAACAGCTCTCATTGTTGTTAGGTGTCGTTGAGTTGTCTCTGACTCATTGAGACCCTATGTACAGCAGAATGAAACACTGCCCGGTCTTGTGCCAGCCCCACAATCTGCTATACCTGAGTCTATTGTTGTAGCTACTGTGGGAGTCCATCTTGAAAGCATGATATCCTTCTCCAGGGAATGGAGACTCCTTTCTGACAATATGACCAAAGTAGGTAAGGTGAAGTCTGGCCATTCTCACTTCCAATGAGCATTCCAGCTCCACTTCCAGGACAAAATGTGTTAGTTCTTTTAGTAGTCCATGGTACATTCAACATTCAACAATTCTTGGTAAAGTCTAAAATAAAATGAAATGCAATTGTCTTTTTATTTGAAATGTTATTATTACATTCTTTAAAATTTCAGTGTGTATTAAAAGTACAAAAAAAAAATCTTCATTTCTGTATTAAATAGAGTTAGGTTTTGTGCTCAGATCATTATGAACAGACTTTTCATTGCTTCTACATGAATATCCAGGAGTCCCTGGGTTGTGCCAACAGTTAATGGACTCCACTGCTAACAGAAAGCTTGGAGGGTTGCGTCTACCCAGAGGGCACTCAGAAGAAAGGTCTGGCAGTCTACTTCTGAAAAATCAGCCATTGAAAATTCTGTGGAGTGCAGTTCTACTGTGACACACATGAGGTCACCATGAGTCGGAATTGACTTGATGGCATCAGGTTTTGTTTTTTGTTATCATGAGATGGCTCTGGCTCTGTCAAGTGAAAGCCTTCACTTCACCTGAAAGCCTTATAGACCTCCATCCTAATACCTCTCTGCTAAGCCAAGAGCACTTCCCGTTGTCCTGAATGGGTATCTTGAGATTGGAAGGCACAACTAAAAAATCCTACTGCCATCAAGTCAATTCTGACTCATCGTGACTATATGAAAAACCAAACTCACTGCCATCAAGTAAATTCTGACTCGTAGGGACCGCCATTAGGTTTCCAAGGCTGTAAATCTTCACTGGAGCAGACTGCTTCATCTTTCTTCATGAAGCGGCTCTTGGGTTTGAACCAATTTATACATAGATTGTTCTGTGACATTAGTTGTAATACCCCCAATGTGTCAGCATTCTCCCCATTTCCACCTGGGGTTGCTCCTTCCATTTGCCCAGTTTTCCTGCCATCTGAACTTTACTTTTGGGCAAATGGCTGCCCTTTATGTCTCGCATAATTGATGATTCTGAGGAGCATGTTCCTTCTGGGTGTTAATATTTACCTTATAGGTCTGTCTTGTATGTGGCTGAAAGGTGATCTGCAGGATTGGCTTCAGTTTAAGAAGAGTATCAGGTTTCACTAAGGTGGTATTAAGCAGACAAATTTTCCTCTAAACAGACCATTTTAGAAGCTAAGCTTTCCCTGTGGTATGCTATCACTGAGATATGCCCAAGGCCGTGTAAATCAGAAAAGGGAATTTATTCCATCCTTTTCCATGGTCCCTTTTGTGATCCCAGCCAAATAAATCAGCCATCCCACTTTGGCCACCCTCTGGGGGTCAGGGACTCCCCACCCTGTCACCAGCCCAAAGCATCACTTCTGAGATTGCACACCATCTGTTGCCTTCTGTGAGTTGCCCAATACGGTCCTTGCTTGGTCAGAACCAATCTAGTCCTGAACTTCACCATCCTCAAAAGTCCCCCCTGATGCTGCTGATGGGGTAGGCTCAGCACAAATGAAGTATCAAAATGGCCTGCTCATCCAACCACACGTACTTTTGTGGTTCCCAGCCCTGAGGGCTCGTCAGAGACAACTGTGGAACTTCAGAGACAGAGACCTAGGCTGCTCATTAGATGCTGGTTCAGTAGGTGGGGTGGGGGGCAGGGATATGCATATTTACAAGTTCCTTAGGTCCCTTATCGTGACAGAAAAGCCAGGCCTGAGGCCCAGAGTGGGCTCCCTGGGTGATACAAACCTTTAAGCATTCTTTCCTAGCCAGTATTTGTTACTGATGGCTGTTAAGTCTCTTATATCAGGATGGTACTGGCACTAGCCTGGCCTCACCATCTCTCTGGACCTTGGTTCCCCTCTGTAAAATGAGAGGATAGACTGCAACACTGAGGCTCTCGCTTCCTTCACTCAAGTTCCACCTGTACAGTTTAAACTGTGTGTGTCTGTGTGTACTTTTATCTTTAAATGACCCATTTTAATGTAAATGTATAAAGAAAATGTTATGTCACCATTTTAAATTGATAACGTTAAATGGAAAAATGGGCATTTGACATGAAGGAATTAAAATTGAAACAAGAACAATGGAAATGACTCAGTTGTACTGAGACTGTCAGGGCTTCGAGCCTGAGATCTGTTCTCTCTGGTAAAGAGGGAGATTAACAAGTGCTAGACACAAAACAGACATTCTCCACACAACAGAAAAAAGCAACCAAGACATGTAGCTGTCCAGTCAGTTCCAACTCACAGCAGCCCTGTAAGATAGGGTAGAACTGCCCAATAAGGTTTCCAAGGCTATACGCTTTAGGGAAACTGCTGCCACATCTTTGTCCTGCAGAGTGGCTAATGGGTTTAAACTGCTGACCTTTCGGTTAGCAGCTGATATCTTTAACACTGTGGCGCCAGGGCTCCCTCAGGAAAGCAAAAGGTTATGTAATTTCTCACCATGTGCCTCAGTGTTATTTAATGTAGTGCCTGAAATCACTCTGACATGAAATCCTGAGCCTACAAGTAGTTTGCACATGACTACTAATCTGTGGGTTGGCAGTTCAAACCTACCCAGTGGCACCACAGACATAAGGTTTGGCAATATTCTTCCATAAAGATTTCCACTCCACACTCAGTGCCATCGAGTCAATTCCAACTCATAGGCTGTAAATCTCACGGAAGCAGACTGCCCCATCTGTCATTTCTGCAGAGCAGCTGGTGGATTTGAACCACCCAACTTTTGATTAGTAGCCAAGTGCCTTAAACAGTACACCACTAGAGATCCTTTCCATAAAGATTACAGGCAAGAAAACCCTATGGAGCAGTTCTTTCTACTTTGTAACCCAAGGGGCTGCCATGAACCAGAACTGACTTTACAGTAACCGGTTTGTGTTTATGTTGGTGTATTACCAGCAGCCTTGCTGCACACTTTGGGATGATCACTAAGGTCTGTCTCCTGCAGCTCTGATATTCTGCAAATTCAGACATTTTTGGGTAGGAACTGCTCATATGAACTATTTTGGCAGCTCTCCTGTTGTTTATCTTTAAATTGACCCACTGTAACGTAAAACTTCTCTCTCTACTCACTTTCAATCTTTATTCTACCAGAAAGCCTTTTTATTATGAAAGATTTTGTTGACCACTGTTTCTTTTAAATAGCTGTTTAATTTTCGATGTTTTAACTCACATATACTTAAACACATTTGCTAATCAGAGCTTGTTATCAGCAGTGTTACCACACTGAATTGACATTCACGTTAGTCAAGAGGCAGAAAGTTGGTACTGCTGCTGGGAAATGAAACTGCATTAGGTTTTTTGAAGAAGTGGATGAAGTTTGCTGGTTCCCCGTTACTGTCCTTTTTGGCACCAGCTTAAGAGTCCTTGCTCTGAACCACCTTCAGGGCCAGAAAGGATACAAAAATTGTGGTATGAAACGACTTGCTGATGAAGGGTTGATTTTATACTTGTTTCTGCTCCCAAGACCAACTTCCGGATATGCCAAAGATAATAAAATCATATTTATTTACAAATATAGGTATTATTGAGAATGTTCTAAGCAAAGCTATGAGTTCAGCATTGATTACAGAATTTCCTCTGATAATAAAATCACATTTATTTACAAATACTGGCATTATCTAGAATGTTCTAAGCAAGGCTATGATTTCAGCATTGATTACAGAATTTCCTCTGATCAAGTGATTGGGTCACAGGTGCACTGAAACTTTAATTAGACTTTACTTTTAAAGTTCCCTCTACTTCCCTTCCTCCATGTGTCAAAGGCGTGACGGCAAGGGTATCATAAATTGCTAAAAATATGCCCAGACTAGTATACCTCAATGAAGTATGGTTTGTTCACTTTAAGAATTTAGAATATATTGTTGGCAAGGATATATGGACCAAGGTTTGGAATGGAACACCGATTTAAGTCTAATTCTGTTCTGGACTACTGATGTGGAATGATAATGTCTCACTGCACTTCTAGAGTTTCCACAATGCTAGCAATGATCTCTGAAAGCCCTTTGTCCACACAGATTTGGATGAAGTTTTCAGGAGCTGATGGGGGCTCCAGAGTATCGAACTGGGACTGCAGGAGCTCAGGGGACATAAAATGTCCTTTTCTTTTGAGTAAGCGTCCAGAGATGACCTCAAACGACCCATTCAGGTGGACCACAAAGAGTTTCACTTTGGGTAGCTTTTCTTCCTTGCCTGACTCATCACATTTTCGAGGGGTGCCATCTTTGCCGCATATTAAGATATCTCTGTACATTTTCTTCAGAGCTGAACAAGCTAGAACCACACATTGTCCTGAGGCAACATCTCTATTTAAAAAAAAAAAAAAAAAAAGGAGTTAAAGAATGAAAACATTTAAAATAATCAGTGCCAATTTTAGGAGTTCCTGGCTGGTACAAATCTAACATGCTCAGCTACTGGTGGTTTGAGTCCACCCAGAGACACCTCAGAAGGCAGGCCTGGTAATCTGCTTTTGAAAAACTGGCCACTGAAAATCTTAGGCACGCAACTGTACTCTGACACACATGGGGCAGCAACGAGTGGGAAGTGACTTGAGAGTTAACTGGTTTGGTTTGGTGTCAGTTCCACCCTGAGGACTCCAATCTGTCTTCTCTGCTATGCAAAGTTGTTAAAAAATGGTTAAGCACCAGGCTGTTCTGGTGTACAGGTAAAGATCTTCCACTAATGAACTGAGTGATCTCGGGCAAGGTATATAGCTCCTTGAGCATTATCTGTTGATGGGGCTGCTCCAAGTACCTGCTTCCTAGAACTGTAGTAAGAAAAGTTTATCAAGGAGCACAGGAAGTGCTCGGTAAGGGTTGGTTCTGCTCTTAAGGATTGGGATGTGGGCTCAGCTTCAGAGTGTGGACATAGGTGGGTGCCCATGGGCAAGTCACAGAAAACACAGCAGGTCTCTTGACTCCACAGCACTCCACAGCACAGTGACTGGAATCTCACAAGGGGCTTCTCCACATTCTTACTCTACAGTATACTGGAAAGGGGAAAATTCCCAGAAAGTGCAGAGCTGAAGAAAGCAAGAGAAAAGGGAACGTCAGTCCCCGTGTGCTCAAGGCGAGTGGGACATGAGAAGTTTTCAGGGTGCCCTGAGGAAAAACTCTGAGCCAGAAACAGAGGCAAAGTGACAGCACCAGTAAGGGGAAACCCGTGTGGTCAAAGACCACCCAGCTTCCACCAAGCTCCAGTGTCCCCCTGTCCTTGGGCAGGAGGCAGTCATCCCGGGGCTCCCTGAGTCTTAAGGGGTAAAACGTGAACAGTGGGCTAGATAACTAGTAGAGGTTTCTGAAAGGGCTTGCCTTTGGTTTTATGGCCACCACAGACTGGAGTGGGTGGAGTGGTTCCTCAGAAACACTTTGTGTCCCTGAGCCTTCTGGCTCTTCCTGAGGGGCAGGAATGAGAGCTTGTTATTTTTGGTCTAGAGGACAACTCACTTAATTTAGACACATCATCAGCAAAGACCAATCGCTGGGTCTAGAGGACAACTCACTTAATTTGGACACGTCATCAGCAAAGACCAATCGCTAGAAAAAGATGTTTTGTTTGGTAAAGTAGAGGGTCAGCGAAAATGAGGGACCCCCTCAATGGGATACTTGACACATAGTTGCAACAATGGACTTAAAACGTACCAATGATTATGAACGTGGTGCAGGGCCAGTGTTTTGTTGTTACATATAAAACAGTCGTGAGTTTGGGCTGACTCAGTGACAGCCAACAACAAGTCGTGAGTTTGGGCTGACTCAGTGACAGCCAACAACAAGTCGTGAGTTTGGGCTGACTGACAGCCAACAAGAAGTCTGGCCTGTGCTCTCCTGAGGATCTTTGTTTCTGCTTCCATTTCACGTCAGTGTGGTGCAGTGGTTAAGGCACCTGACTGCTAACCAGTCAGTGGTTCACACCCACCAGCTGCTCCGTGGAAGAGGCAGTCTATGTCAGTAAAGATTTACAGCCTTGCAAACTCACTGGGGGTCACTGTGAGTCAGAAATGACTCAATGGCAGTGAGTTTGATTTTGGATTTTTTGGTGTCTGTTTATGTCAGAAACCCAAGTGGGCAGGAGTTCTCAAACTCTACATCAGAAGCCCATGCAGACAGGCTGCCAGCCATATCAATGGGGTATGAGAAAAGTAAACAATTTTTAATAAAAAAATACATTCTAGTTTCACATAGCCTAGATTGTTTTGGATTTATAAAATGTGACTTCATGTTAGAAAGCAAGATTGATGACCCATTCCTTGACTTTTCTTCACCCTATCTCCATGTTCCAACCAGGAATGTGGTGTCAGACCTACACATGGGGGAGGGGGTCCCTGTTGATAAGCACACAACAAAGCTGTGTGACAATGCTTCTGCAAGTCCAATCCTGGAGGTCAGTTATCTCTTGACTTATGAATGACCCCAGGTCTTGATAGTTGTCACAGCTTGACAATCAGCCAATGAAAACTACGTGGATCATAATGATTCTGTTGTGCATGGGGTCTCCAGGAGTCAGGGATTGAATACGTTAGCTAACAACAATAATGTATAATGGTGGTGACATCAGTTAACATTTTTTTGAGCACTTACTATTATTACAAGTTGTGGTGGCACTGTGGTTAAAGCATTGGGCTGCTAACCAAAAGGTCAGCAGTTTGAACCCACCAGCTGCTCTATGGGAGAAAGATGAGGCAGTCTGCTTCCATAAAGATTTACAAGCCTGGAAAATGTATGAGGCAGTTCTCTGATCTATAGAGTTGCTAGGGTTGGAATCCACCTGATGATGGCAGTGGGTTTGGTTTGGTACTATTATCAGAGACTGTTTTAAGTCTTATACATCATCTCACTCTTCACAATAACTTGAGTAGGAACTATATTTACCCTCACTTTAAAGATTAAAGCAAGCAAACAGGCTTATGAAGGTCAGGCTGCTGACCACAATTCCCAGCTAGTAACTGTGGAGCAGTGGAGCAGGTTTATCTCCAGAGCCTGCCTAAACTACACATTGCTTCTTGCTAGAAGCACAAGACATTCATGTCTAGGATCCTTTATCATCCATCAGTTGTCATTTCCAAGAATGTGTTTTTTCCCTGTGCTTCTGATGGCTTTTCTTAGTAGCTTATCATGGCAAGACCCAATGCTCTCTTACCTCAGTAAAATGTCATGCAAGTTGCAGAGCCATGGAATCCTGTCCTGAAATTAAAGCAGACACTAGTGACTTCCAAGTCTTGTTTGGATGGAGACATAGTTATGTAATATTCATAAATACTAACCTCCAGAGAATCGCAGTGGTTTTGATTAGTATAAGGTTATGCACAAGGATGTGGATAGTTAAACATCTTACAATTTCAGGTGCCAATAGTTCTTATAATACAAAGTGCACTAAAGGACCACTGTGTATCCTCACCCAGTATAATCTGCCTGTTAAATACATATTTGTCCTGGTTCCAACAGGTTTACAAATCTTTTATTACAGTGCATGTATTCTTTAAGTGGCTTCAGTTCTCAAATGTGAAGTGGTTTCAGTTCTCACTTAAACTGTTCATCAGTGGTCCTACTCTTCAAACCAACAAAAACAAAACTTCAGATAAGGTGAGAAACATTGTGAAAAACTTAATTTTAACAAAGAGCTCAAAAGGAAGACAGAGGAAGATTATATAGCCTCCCTACAACCAGAGTTTATTTAAAAAAAAATCCTGAGACATGTTCTTTCCTCCTGCCTGGGATCAATCTTGATTGGTCATAATGCATTTTTTAAAATGTCTTTTTTTTTTTTTTTTAATATGGAAAACTTTTAACAAACACAAAAGCAGACAGAACAGTACAAAACAAACCCATTGTTACCCAACTACAACAATTTTCAACTCACGAATGTTGTTGATCTTAGGTGCCTGTCTTGGTTTTCTAGTGTTGCTATAACAACAGATATAAGACAAGTGGATGGTTTTAACAAACAGGAATTTATTCTCTTACAGTTTAGGAGGCTAAAAAAACCAAACTCACTGCCATCAAGTCAATTCTACTCATAGCGACCCTCCTTGAGTTTCTGAGGCAGTGTTGTTGTTGTTGTTGTTAAGTGCCGTCGAGTCGTTTCCGACTCATAGCGACCCCATGCAGAGAGAGGCAGTATATCTACAGAAGTAGATTGTCCAATCTTCCTTCCAAGGAGTGGCTGGTAGGTTTGAACCTCCAGCCTTCTGATGAGCTGTCAAGTGCCTTAGGCACTACACCACCAGAGCTAGAAGTCCAAATTCAGAGTGCCAGCCCTAGGGGCAGGGTGGAGACCCCTTGACCTTGGGCTTCAGCTCTGCCTTTTGCTCCAGGTCCACTGGAGTGGAGGTTCCTCTTCACTCATGCAGCTGCTGGCTCCTGAGTCTGACGAACCCAAGGTCAGCAAGTAGAATGGCACAGGCCCAAGATCAACAGGCAACACGGCAGACCACAGGTTCATGTCCAGGAACAATCCCATGGCAAGCCACTGAGATGACGCCTCAGCCAAATGTAGGATGCAGAGATGTACCAAAAAACTAAAGACCTTCCTCAAAGCTTCCCCATATATACTGAAAGCAGGCCATACCCTGAAGGCAACTAATTAGCTGCTCACAGCAGATTCCAACATGGAGTTGATTCCAGTCTCACCATGGAGAAAAAACTGCATCCAGTTGCCAAGCACTCAAAACCATAGGTTAACCAAGCTGACACATAACCTTAACTACCACAGTGCCACTTAGTCAGTTTTGACTCAGCGATCCCACGTACAATAGGACGAAACAACTGCCCGGTTCTGCGCCATCCTCACAATCATTGCCAGGCTCGAGCCCACTGTTGTAGGCACGGTGTCAATCCATGTTGTTGAAGGTCTTCCCCTTTTTCACTGACCCTCTACCCAGCATGATATCCTTCTCCAGAGACTGGTCCCTTCTGAAACATGACCAAAGTATGAGAGACAAAGTCTGGCCATTCTCACTTCTAAGCAGCATTCCAGCTGCACTTCCAAGACAGATACGTTCATTCCTCTGATTGTTGTTGTTGTTATGTGCCGTCGAGTCAGACCCAACTCATAGTGACCCCTCCTTGGGTTTCCGAGGCATTATCACTATGGAAGTAGATTGCCCAACCTTCCTTCTGAGGAGTGGCTGGTGGGTTTGAACCGCCAGCCTTCTGATTAGCAGTCAAGTGCCTTAGGCAGCACTCTACCAGAGCTCCTAAATAACTGTAGAAATTGTTTAAAAGTTAATGCAAAGATGAGAAACAAAAGTTGAGGACATATTTTT